TGTGGTCCGTGGGCCAGCAGCATTGGCATCACCTGGGACCTTGTTAGAGATGCAGACCCTCGGGCCCCACCCTAGACCTAGACAGACTGAATTAGGAATTGCATTTTAGCATGATCCCCAGGGTGTGTGTGTGCATATTAATATTCGAGAAGCCCTGCCCTCTAGAACACAGTATACCGGAAGTGGTAGCTGCTGGTTTAGTCACTTTAGGAAAAGGTACACTCTCTTTGTTCTGATTAAAAAAAGACAACTAAAAGATTAATTTTAACAGTACATTCTTTATTGTTTTTTCTTGATCCTAAACTCAATGATTAGCAGCCCGAACAAAGTAATAAAAAATGATTAGACAGGAAACTGGGTTAACGTGACTTCCTTCCAGTCATTTCGATAGCCTTTTCAATGTAATAAGGAGTAGAGCTGACCATTGTGGAATCAGGTTATGTTAATTTATCTGAATTGTCGCAGCAGATAGGAGCTGAACCCATTAGAGGTAATAATGGCGAAATGCCTGTGTAGTTACCGAGTTTATTAGCTCACACCAGTCAGAGAATCCTGGGATCAGTGAGCAGGAAGTTGGTTTGTCTCCCCAGAAGAGCTATATGCTTACGCTTGCTGGAATGTTTCTCTTGCTATTCTGTCCCCACTGGTTTTCTACTTCAATTGCTATATGAATGACAAATTTGCCCTGGAGAGTAACCTTTAGCATCATATTCTCTTTGCCCTTAGATTTGGGGAAAATCCAAGGTTAGAAGGCCTGTTTTCTTTTAGAGAAGAAAACAAACACAATTTGAGTGCCTGCTCTGTGCTAAGCAGTGTGCTGGGCACCTTCAGCATGAGTGAGATATCAGGTTTGGCACATGTGGAAACTGAAGCACAGAGAGGTTATAGTATGTTCCCAAGGTCACACAGCTAATAAGAGTCTGGTAGAACCAGGATTTAAATGAGATCATCTGATCCCTTGTTTAGTGTTCTTTGCACAACTCTAAAATGAAGCTTTCACAAAGCTCTCTACCTGTGTCAGTTGCTCTTTATAAATGCTGCTTTGGTAAATATCCTTGTAGTCAGTGGATACCTGTGATCGTGCTTTCTTTCACCTTACTTATTTAATCTATTGAGGAGGTCTGTTGTGTGACGTCTACCAGTGCTGGAAGTAGTTACACTCAATTATTTACAACGAGAGCTGGAAGACTCAGACTTGACATAGGCGTTTGATGTTCGGGCTGGGAACTGCTTCCCCAAATCTTGAGTGCCTACTGTATGTAATAGGGTGGAGTAGGGGGATTTACATAATCCATGGGCTCTGCTTTTGGAGTGTTTAACTTTAGTCAAGAGGAAGAATATTTACACCTATGAAGACGAGGTAACGATGAGCTAATATGTGCCAAAAGAAGGCCAGGTGTTCCACAGCCATGTGCTGGCATTGAGTCTCAAGCATTCGTACTAAATGTTGGTTTAATGAAATGACTAGGTCTTTGGAGGAGGGAGTTATGCCTGTGAACTTGTGAGGTCAGGGATAGTTTGGTGATGGATGTGGGTCTTTAGGTCTTACAAGGGGGTAAGGCTTGGATGGGTGGGAGGAGAGAAGGTGAAGTGGGGTTGGTAATGGGTGGGGGCCGCTGGATTGTGGAGGGCCTTACATATCAAGCCGAGGATGGTCATAGGGAGCCATTGTAGGTTCTTGAGCAGAGGAGTGGCTCAGCCAAAGCAGTGCTTGTCCTATTGTATGTGTGGGGCTAGATTGGCATTGGTGAGAAAACTTATAAGCATTTGTATTTGTGGCGTATGAGGCAAAAGCAGCAGTATTGTTAAATCGAGACTGGTTTAGGAAGTTAATGGGAAAACAATGCTACAAGAGCATCTTTTCTCTATGTCACCTCCTGGGATGCTGCGGGCTTGGTGACCGAGGACTGGGAATTAAGATGTTTCATTTTTATTGTCTATCCCTTCGTTAACTATTTACTGTTGATGTAGGGATAGAATAGGGGTTATTATCTTACATAGTATTAGGTTGAACCATATGAAATTTCCATTTTTTTCATAGGTCAAAATGGGTAGAACTACCGGCAATTTCATATGATTTCATTTACTTGATTTTGAGATTGTTGGAGATGTGTAGATGTGGGCTGCCTTTGGCTTTCTGGTCGGGGTGATTAGGGTAGGTACCCAGATGATGCTGCTTACAAGTAGCCTGAAAGTACTCAGTGTGCTCTAGTCTTTGGGAGATGAGATCGTTCCTGGAGATTGAGCCCAGGGCCCAAGGGATGTGTTATGTTCTTTCTCTCTCTAATATTTGCTCTCCCTGACCAAGGACCAGGCATTCAGCGTCTCCTGATTTTATTCTGTTACCTTTGCTGAAGAAAATTTTGCTCTGGACCGAGAATTTTAAAGGAGGGAGGAGAGCTTGTGGAAGAGAGGATAACAATATTTGCATCTCGATTGTTTTCCTAGTACTGCCTTGTAGTTTGATGCAGACAGAACCCAGTTAAGATGGGGGAGAAGGGGTACTGAGTTCTCACGCTTGCCTCAGGCTGCCGAGGTTTTAAATGAGTTTGAGAACATCTGGGCAGTGGACTGAGCATGCCTGATGGCGGTGTGGTGGAGGCTGAGCTGTTCTGCCTTCACGTTCTTTGCGTCTGCACCCTGGGATGGGGGCCACTCTCATGGAGCCTCTCCTGGGTTCATGGATGGGGTGTTTCCAGATTGCTCCCCTAACCAGCAAGAATGAGAGCCGGCTCCAAGGCTGCGTCTACTGAAACTGGCTGGGCATAGCCATCCCAGGGAGTGTGCCCCTTTTGGCCCCGACTCTGGGTACCACGGGGCCGAGTCATCTGTCATCACACCCAAACTCCACAATTTCATGGTTTGAGACCTTGAGGCCACTGGTTCCATCATGATTTGCCTCTCTGTCATCCTCAGTTGCCACTCAACATGCGAGTCCCCACAGCGTTTGTCCTGTTCTAACGAGTATTGTTCTTTGCTTCGCTGACATCTCGAATACTCCCTTGTCCTCCTGGTTCTCTCTTGAAAATCCCTCTCCTCTCCCTTCCTCGGAATAAGAAATCTCTTCCATTTACTTAGCCTGCAAGTATGTATCGAGGGTCCCACTCTGTGAGAAGCAGCGCAAGGAAAACAAATGAGGAAAAACACTGGTCTTTTCATGCACACGCATTTGAAGATCACCTTCCTTAGCACCTGTCCTCGATTTTTCCAGTGAAAACACAACTGGTACCACTGCTGTGCCTCTCTCTTTCCTCTTCTTTTCTGAAGAAAAGAAGTAACAGCTATCCGGAAATAGTTAAACCATAAACGTGATTTGTAAGCTCCTAAGTTTATGGCATGTGGGAAGATCAGTACCAGCCACCACTTGTCATCCAATCTGACACCTGTGTCTAGATGGAAATCATCTCAGAACAGATTGCATGTTATAATTAAAAAACAAAAAAACATTCCGTGTAAATATGCTCCGCCAAATTGCCCATCCTGGCACCACCGGGGTTTCTGCCACAACTCAAATGCACTTAAAAGATTATTTTTAACTTCTTTTTAAAGGAAGCATAAACAGCAGATTCCTACATGTAGGATATGACATATGGACGCTGTGGGGTAACTTTAATAACTCACAGCCCACCCTCACGGTTTAATTGAGCTACACATTCTTTCATTTTCCTGTTTCTTTTCCTGACCTGGACAGAAATTGAAATTGAAACACGTTTGCCTCAAGTACTTTATTCTGGCTGGGTACAGTTGACCGAGAAATACAAAGTCTCGTTTTACTCATTTATTCAGTTTATTTGGAAATACAATGAGAATGAACACATTCTCGTTATTAAAGTTCTGAACGATCACATGACCTTGGCTTCTTTCCTTTTTTTTTTTTTTAAATAATAAGAGGAGAAACCTTTTAGAGAAGAGAGTTTCTATACCTAGACTAAAATCTTTAATTTTCTTGCTTTTTTTTACAACTCCCAGTGCAAAAGAATCTCAGTCAGAGTTTTAAGAAATGCCCACGATGTCATGTTGGTCCATGAGTTCTTGTTACGCCAGGTGAAGCTGAGCACAGCAGAATTTTACCTTATCAGTAGATTACATTTTTTTTTTTTTTTTTTTTACAACCCCCAGTGCAAAAGAATCTCAGAGTTTTAAGAAATGCCCACGATGTTATGTTGGTCCGTGAGTTTTTGTTATGCCAGGTGAACCTGAGCACAGCAGAATTTTACTTTATCAGTAGATTATATCGCTACCAAAATGAAATGGTCCTACAAAAGAGGTATTAAGATCGTGAGGACAGTATTGGTAACTGGCAATCACTGTGCCCTTACTGTGTGTGTCAAGCATGGCTTTAAGTGAACAGTAATTATTTTATTTATACTTCATGAAAACCTTGGGAGGAAGGTGTTAGCATTCCTACTTTATAGATGAAAGAGAACCAAAATGTGAGTAATTTGCCCAAGTTCACACATATAGTTAGTAGCCATGACAGGTTTTAAATCCAGATCCATCTCAAACTCTGTGATCACCACTTCTTCACACATCACCTCATCTTGAGTGGGTTAAAAGTTGAGCTGACAAAACTTGTGGTGGATAAGATTTGGGTCCATCAAAGTTCCAGAATGTTCTGACTTCTTGTTGGTATTCCCTGAGCAGCAAACCTCGGGCCTTTTATCTCAGCTGTAGATTCTTGAAAGTCAACTCACTTTAAAGTAGTGGGAGTTGTGTTCTCAGGGTCAGGCCTCACCTAGAAAGGGCTCCCCAGGCACGGCCCAACCTGGGAGTCCCTGGGAAAACTAGAGAGACAACCTCAGGCTTCATGCTGACTCTGTTCTTTGCTCTTGGCCTCTCACAGAGGAGCCTGGAGCTTAGTCTCCATTTCAAGCAGACTCTCAAAGATCTCTCTTATAAACTATAATAGAATCAGTCCTCTTTAGCAAAGTCTTGGTGAAGGCCGGAGAGCTCTTTGAACCCATTTTGACTAACGCTGTGTTGTTATTTTTCTCTTGCAGGACATCGAGGCCTATGTGACCATTCTCTAAAATATTTAAGCTCGAGAATCATGGAGCGGAAGCTGCAGGGCTCATGGCTGCCTGCTGGCCGAGGGAATCTGGAGAAACTGTCCCCGGGAACACGCAGCTCCGTGGTGCCCGTGTTCAGCCCTCAGAATGGTTCCCACTCCACCCATGCTGAGAACAGCCCGCTGAAGCCCAGGGTGGTGACCGTGGTGAGGCTGGGCGGACACCCGCTGCGGAAGATCACCCTGCTCCTCAACAGGCGGTCAGTGCAGACCTTCGAGCAGCTCTTGGCGGATGTCTCAGAGGCCTTGGGCTTTCCAAGATGGAAGAGCGATCATGTGAGAAAACTGTTTAACCTCAAGGGCAAAGAAATCAGGAGCGTCTCTGATTTCTTCAGGGAAGGGGATGCTTTCATAGCCGTGGGCAAAGAACCACTGACACTGAAGAACATTCAGGTGGCCATAGAAGAACTGTACCCCAGTAAAGCCCGGGCCTTGACATTGACCCAGCATGGCCGGATTCCTTCTCCGAGGCTGAGAAGCAGGCTTTATTGCAAGGCTCTGAAAGGGAGTCACCACTGTGGGGAGACGGAGAGCACCAAGAGCGGCAGTGAGGCTGCCAGGTCCAAGGCAGCCATCAGACACCAGGGGAAGGCCCCCGTGGAGCCGGTGCCGGAGGACAGGGCAAAGGCCCCGAAGAAGTGGGCGAGGGGGAATTGGGAACCTGAACCCGGGAGCAAGCCTCCCAGGGAAGCCGCCTTAGAGAGGCATGCGAACGGAGAGAAGCACCTGGGGGTGGAGATCGAGAGGACCTCAGGTGAAATTATCAGGTGTGAGAAGTGCAAGAGAGAGAGAGAGCTCCAGCAGAGCCTGCAGAGGGAGAGGCTGTCCCTGGGGACCAGTGAGCTAGACATAGGCAAGTCCCAACGGTATGACGTGGAGAAGCTGGTAAGGACCAGGAGCTGCAGGAGGTCCCCCGAGGCCAACCCTCTGGGTGGGGAGGAACAGGGGAAGGGTGACAGCCACAGGAGCAGTTCCAGGAACCCCACTCAGGAGATGAGGAGACCCAGCAAGAACACGGACAAGAAAGAGGACAGAGACCCCGGAGGCCAGGAAGGTCATCTGCAAGGAGCAGCCAAGGCTAAGAAGGATCTCGTGGAAGCTCAACCTGTCAGAGAGGAGGGCCGGAGGGATGGGAAGAAAGACCCCAGGAACAAGCATGGCGGCTGGCTTCTCAGGGAGCACCAGGCTGACTCTGAGAAGCTTCCCAGGACCAGAGGGGAAGAGCAGGAGGCAGAAAAGGAGAAAAAGCCATGTGCGTCAGGAGGGAGAAAGATGCTTTCCAAAGATGACCAACTCGGAAGGGTAGAAAAGGAGCCCAAAACAAGGCCGGAAGAAAGCAAGTCAGAGAGGCCTGGTGGGCGGAAGCGGCGGCCGGCGGGCATCATCTCGGCCAACGTGGAGAAGCACTATGAGCCGGGCCGGGTCATTGGGGACGGGAACTTCGCCGTGGTGAAGGAGTGCCGGCACCGAGAGACCAGGCAGGCCTACGCCATGAAGATCATCGACAAGTCCAAACTCAAAGGAAAGGAGGACATGGTTGACAGTGAGATCTTAATTATCCAGAGCCTCTCTCATCCCAACATAGTGAAACTGCATGAAGTCTACGAAACAGAAACGGAAATCTACCTGATTATGGAGTACGTGCAGGGCGGAGACCTTTTCGATGCCATCATAGAAAGTGTCAAGTTCCCAGAGCATGACGCTGCCCTCATGCTCACCGACTTGTGTAAGGCGCTCGTCCATATGCATGACAAGAGCATTGTCCACCGGGATCTGAAGCCAGAGAACTTGCTGGTAAGCCCTGACCTTGCCGCTATGGGAGAGGGTGTTTATAAAATGCGGGATACGAGAAATACCAATTGCCTCATACTCCGTCACTCTTACTCGCTAGAATACTACCTTTACGCTATTGTAACATACTCATTGCAGTATTTAAAACTTTGGTTATAGTTCATAAGTTGCTGAGATAAATCGGTTTTTGATGAAATTATGGAAAAGGAAACCTTCCAATTTAAATAAAATGTAATATGTTTCCTCATCCCTGAGAGAAAAATACTTTTGCCTTAACAATGACCAGGTGGACTTATTTACTGGGCATTTGCACAAAGGCTGGCCTAGGTATCGGAGCTGGCCTACAGCTTCCCCTGTAGGCTTTGTGTTCACCCTCCCATTGAAACCACCCCCGACCCTTTTGCAGATAACTTCTTGCCACGAGAATTCAAAAGGCTCATCATGGCAGGGACCTGTGTGTGAAGTGGACAAGAGGCAGGCTCTGGAGTCAGATAACCTGACTTTGAATCTTGGCTTTCTTAGCTGCTTGCTCTAGAATCAGTCCTACACCTCTCTGGGCCTGAGTCTCTTTAATTACTATTAAAGAGAAATAGTAATAGTACCTATCTTGGAAGGTTGCGTGAGGATTGAGTATGGGAAAAGTGAAGGAGACTCTGACAGTGGGAGCTGGCCTGACACTCACGGCTCAGCTGTAGTGTTTTCCTGATGAACACAAACGGTTTCACAGAACACCAATATCTGACCATGAGGAATCAAGATAAAAGCAAGACCCCTTTTATAATCATGTCCAAATGCAGATAAGAAAAAGATTGTCCAAACTATGGCCAAATACCCCTCTTCTGGCTACTGTGAGTGACTGCCTCACTAGATGAGAATCACTCAGATGCCCAGTCATAGAATTACTCTCTCTTCCTGACAGTATTTAATTCAGAGCAGAATCTACCTTTTTGAACCCTCCGCCAAACCACCTCACACAGCCTGAATCTTTCAATAGATACCCGAATCCCAGTGGCGTGCATTCTCCATTGATGCCATGAGTCAGGGAACTCAGGGTGTTCTTGAATTACAAGTGTGTTCCTGATGGTCTTTGTTCGGACAGCGTACACTGTCACCCTCTGGCACCTTTATCCCACCTTCTTCTTCGTAGCCCTGCTCACCAGCTTGTAATTCTGTATTTATTCCGTTTTCTTTCTCCTCTGACTGGAAAGAAGGTTGGTTCTATGACAACAGAAACTTTGTTCTATTCAGATTGTACCCTGAAACCTAGAATAGTTCTGTCACATGATAGACATCCATTAATTATTAGTTGGATGAATAAATGAATACGGACAGAGCATGCTGCCTGGGAGAGAGCGAGCACTCCATCGGTGGCAGCTACTGTCATTATTATCAGCAGCTCTGATATTAAGTGGGTATCTTGAATAAGCATGCAAAGCTGGATTGCTGCAGGCAAAGCAATAGTGAATGGAGACCATGATCTTGATGAGCCACATTTTTTAGAGGGGAAGGGCATGGATTTAGCCTGTTTTTAAAAAAATTCAATGGCTGTCCACCCAGCCTGGAATCGTCATCCCAGTGCATTTATTTGTCAGTAAATGCTCTCACCAGGAGAATGAAACATTGAGTGAGTCAAGCTAATTATCTGGTGAAATGAGGTCTACGTTGACTGCTGAGTCAAGTAAATTTGTTTTTGCCCAAATTCATAGAATTACAGAAGTTTGACTGGTTGCCTGAGTGGACTGAATTACCATCAAATAACTCTCCTTTTGAAAATTTTCATTTTTTTTGCATTACCTGAGTGTCTCCATCCTTTGCTTGCTTTTTATTTCTGTCTTCTGGGTCTGAGCCCAAGTAATCTCCATGCGTGATGTGCTGTACGCTGTTTCTCATGGCTACTTTGGACTAGCCACAGAGCGGTGTTGTTTAATGACCCTCTGAAGTATTCTCCGAATCGTCTCAGCAGGAGAGGTTCTGACTAGAGGCCTGGGCTGGTTTCATGAGCTGAGCGCTTTGGGCTTGTGCCCCTGAAAGCATTATCACTGTTATACAAGTTCCATGTTATACCAGGAAGCGGGATGAAATCGTTTACCCTAGAGGATCGTTTTCTTTTGGGGACAGTCATCTGAGCTTGCATTTTCTCAGCAAGGTTCTGCAACCAATCTGTCGAGCTGGCTCATCTCTTGGACAATAGAGACTCTCCTTGTGTTAAGGGACTTACTTGTCAGCAGGTTTTGAAGTGGAGAAAGTCATCACCGGTTTAGACTGCATCAAGTTCCCTTTAGGAAGTCGAAAATTGCAAGGTGAACATTTAGTGTGGACAAGCTAACTGCCTCAGAGAAGTCATCTGACAGCTCTTCATAGATTTAAATGTCAGTAAATATGTGTTTTGGGTGTCCTTAAGGGCAGTGAGGCTTGGACAATAGAGACTCTAGTGTGTTTGTGTGTTGTGTGAGTGTGTTTGTGTGTATGTGTGTTCTGAGAAGCAAAACTTCAGAGTAGCTATACTTTTTCAGTCTATATACATGAGTTGTCTATTGGTATTAAAAGTATCTGATATTTAGATCCTTTTTCTGAATTTGAAGAAAGCCCACTTTTTTATTTTCAAATAAAAACTTTTTTTTTTTGGTAGTGGTATGGGCCCTTCAGAAACTGCGAAAAGCTGAGTATTTGAGTCATCTTTTGTGGAATAGGTTAATATCTTTTCTTCCTATGGATAATTTTGTCAGCTTACATTTATCAAAACGAACAGGCCTGTCACATTTGTAAACCGTTTGTCCTTTTTCTGGGTGAGTAAAGTTCAATGTATTGTTATGTCAGAAATCTAAACACTAATGTTAGTGCTCTTTGCTTTTTTCAGACAGATCTGGGTTTTGCTAGATTTGACAATGGGATCATTGCCTGGGTTTAGAAAGGTGCCATCTCTAAACTTGCTGATATAATAATGATTTTGAAAACTTGGTAGGTCGACTAGGATTTAATATTAGTAAATATCACCATGGTAACTACTGTCCATCAATTATTGCTTTTAGAGACTTTCCGAATATACTAAGAGCTCTTAATGAATATAGCAAGCTTATTATCATTGTTTTAATCAAAGGGAATATTTGTATCTGATAATTGGGCCCCAGAATAAAATTTTAGGCCTATATTACTGTCTATTTATTTCTGCAGTTATGACTTTAGGTTCACATTTTCTGATAAGGTGCTAGTTCCCTTGTTCCCTTTGGGTTATTTTGACTCATGAGATCTTGCCAAAGAAGTTTTAATTATGAGAATTTCCAGCTTGCAGAAATATCAGTGTTAATTGCTTCTCCTGCCAGCGTGTGCTCCCTTGGCAGGGTTGGGATGTGTTGTGTGGTGTTGCCTGGACCTCAGGAGGAGGGGAAGAAGCAAACAGGAGCCGGAGAGGTGAAGAGGATCAGACCAGCCCACACAGGATGGGAAATAGACAGGCCAGGTTAGTTATGGCCAACAGAGGAGATATTACATCCTGCAAAGAAAGCTGAGTGGGGGTGAGGAGAGATTGAAGAGGTGTCGGTCAGACAGGAGCAAGGTCATTTGAAAAAATCTGTTCCAGAATAAGGGAAGAGATGGGACACATTCCCAGTCTGGAAATAGGGCTGAAAGGACTGAGATGGGTGGGCAGGCACTAAAGCTTAGGAGTACTTGGAGCAGAGACCTTTGAAATGGTGGTGGGGACAGGTCACAGATAAGTGGGGGACAAAAGTTGTAACCTCTTTCTGGCCTCTTGATGGTTCTTGGAAGGAACAGACTCTTCTAGATGTTTAACTGCTGAATTTTGACTAGGACAGGGCAGTGATCAATGTCTCAAGGGCGACAAAGAAAATCTAAAAGGATAAAAAATGGCCAAACAAATGGGCCCTCCTTGCCCAATCTTTATTTTAAAGACAATTGCAATTAGACAACTAGATCTTAGGCCTTGGAAACGCAAAGAGATTCACTGACTTGCTTCCTTAGATTAAAGACATTTTGAAAACAAAGAGTTTTAAGAAATTTAATCATAGACCCTCAAATGGCTCACAAGAAATCAGTCTTTTAGACAGGTGACAACACACAGGAACACAGGTATTAAGAGGACAATAGGAAATCGTTGTGATTTACTAAATGAACTTGTTCAATTATTGCGTTCATTTTAATTCCCTAAGTTCTTTTACCATTGCCACTTTGACACATGAGAAGGATTCAGTGACTCTTGCTCTGTTAGTTGGTGGTTCTGCAGTGCATAATCCTCTCTCAGCAGCACGGCTTCTCTTCTGCCAGCTCCAATTTCAGTCTCCTTTTCCCTTAGCTTCTAAGATGGAGGTGTCCATGTACTCTCACTAACAGTCCAAGTATTCATGAATGCATTTATATACCGACCGCTTTAATTAAAAAATTGGTAACAACTTTGAACCATATCTTGTTAGTTATACTTAATAAAATCTAGAAATGTGGATTACAGCAATAACGTGAAGTCAAAGAAAAAGGACAGTGATATAGGCCTTTAGGTCATTGGATACTATCGATCAAGTCAGCAAGAAGATAGGTTTATAAGAGATAGAATCTATCTCGAGAGAGTATCAAGGTGAATTCTGCAGTTATGACTTTAGGTTTATATCTGTGAGAGTGGCTTTCGGTATCCATTTCAGCAGTTTCTAGGAAAATAAAAAGTACTCATATAGTCAGTGAATCCACATGCTGTCCATATAGCCAGAGGTTTCAAGAAATTTCTTAAAGTTTTCAAAATTCTAGATTCTGGGTCATCTCAATGACTGAGGTTTTCTTCCTTCTGTCAGTTCCTTTTGAAATAGTCACCTAACAGGGAATGTCTGGTAATTTACTGTCTGTAGTAAATTATCAATAGCAAAGGCAACTTAACAGCATGATTCATAGTTACTCACCTTGTTGAATATCTTCTAAAATCGTGACTTCATTCTCCCAAGGAGTCCTGAAGTTTAGGTCATTTAGTAAATAACAACAATCTCCTATTGTCCTCTTAATAC